TATTGATTTTTTAAATATGATAAAATTTAAATTTTTAGGTTAGGTTAAACCAATTTTACTTTGATTAACATAAATAAATCTGTACTTCGAATCAACATATGTATATTATTTCACTTAAATAAATAACATAAATTAGTACAGAAAACAATTTTTTTAAGTTTGGATAAATATTAAATTTTTAAACAAAATAAAAACAAACCTAAAATTAATCAAATTCTTAATGTGCTGGACCTGTGGAGGATGGTGTTGGCTCGGTAACCCTCATAGAGGCAGAGGTGGAGGTGGTGGAAGATGTGGTGGTGGAGGATGGAGACGCCCAAATATAGTTCATCATACCAGCGTTGTTTATCAAACAACTGTAATTGATAATACAGATTATAAAAGAATCCGTGAATTAGAAACTCAATTATCTGAAATGACAAAAAATAGAGACGATTAGAAAGCAAATTTTGAAGAGTGTGAAAAACATAAAAAAGAAGTGGAAGATAAAATAACCGAAATTATAATAACTCATCTCAACATAAGTAGAATTGAAATCGAAAAATTAACCACTGTTGGAAAATTAGACACAATCTTAAACTTCATAAAACAAGAAGTAAAAGAATGTTTAAGATTACTTGGAATCCCTTTTCAAACTGGCGATAGTTTGATTTCTATGCTTAAAAAAATAGTAAAAGCTTGTAAAGAGATTGGAATAACCGGCCCCGTTCAAGAAATGTTATTAAGATGTCTAAAAAAGTTAGATCCTAAAACTCAAAAAATAATCCTAAATCGTTTAATGGAAAATTAGGAGAAAGTATGGATGCTTTAGTGAAAGCTTGCTATGAAAACAGTAGAGATATTTTAAACAAAGAACAATTTGAAAATAGACCTAAAATTAGTTTTGTAAGAAAATTAATGAGATGTCATTACTACATGGTCAGGAAAAGCAATCTATTGAGTATAAAAACAATGGCTGATAATTTGTTTAAAGTAACTGAACCAGAAAATGAAAAAATGTTTAACAGAAAAATATGGAAAAATATCGTTAAAAAGGAATATAACTCGTTTCCTGTTTTTAATCCTGAATACAACTATATTAATATATTATTAAAAGATGCAGGTTACAATAGGTATGGTGAAGTTAAATATGATGAGACTTTTCTTTACAAATTACATTTTTGTTATTGGCTTTTAAAACGAGAAAAATACAAAATATCAGACAATGATTCGATAGAAAAAGGTATAGATGATATGAGTGTTGACGATTTATTTAAACCAATTTATCTTACTTATCTTCGGAATAAACGAAATGGAATGCCAGGTAATTTTTTTTTTTTAATTTTATTCATTTCTTTTGTTTTAATTACATTATCATTTAGATTATCAAGGAAAATATACCACTCCCGAAGAGCTTCAAAGAATTGTTTTATTAAAGAATAAAAAATAAATATTTCAATTTAGTTTAGTATTTTTTATACATACAATTTATTTATATTATTACTTTAAACATATTTTTATAAATAAACAATTTTTTATTCAATTTATTTCCAACAAAATGTCTGAAATTATTGAAAATGTTCGTTTAAAAATTCTCCAAATCCCGAGTGGTTCAGGAGAACTCGACAGAATACAAGGAATTATTAATACTCTAAGAGATAATAATAAAAAACTACAAGAAGAAATAGAAATTTTAAAATCAAACAACCCTCTATTAGAACAAGAAAATGAAGACTTAAAAAATGCAAACGATAATTTAAAAA